TTATTATTATTATTATTATTATTATTATTATTATTATAGTCTTGGCTATGAAAAGACTGGACTTGGTGAGGCTGCTTTCAAACTAACCCTTCTACAACTACAAACTTAACTTAACTAAGCCATTCTACAACCATCCACCCTTAATCTTCCACTTGCCATTTTGTTTGCGTGTGTATGAAACCATTCTCAAGAACAGAAGTTCTTGTTGACACAGGACTCCTAGTGGTAGTGGTCAGAAAGCCATGAACAGTTATGCTATGTTTTCATTCTCATTTTTTTCTGCTAGGAAAAAAAAAGACTGAAAAAGCAATGGGAGAACACAAGAAGATTTCAAATCAAACACATTGTCATGTAGAAACCTTTACTGGATCTGGTAAAATTATTTGAATGAGGTTGAGGGATGGCATAATTTAAAAGCTTCCTTTGGAAGCACTCTAAACCATATCCATACATAACATTAATTCATTCACTTTATGTATATCCCTTCCTTTTCCTCAGAACTGGAATGCTGAGTGGCTTACTATGTAAAATAGGTACAGTACATATGAAAACAGGCAAAGGATTATCATTAAAATGTAAATAATCTATTCATTATATTAAACAATTTAAAACATCAGCACAGCAAATTACAGTAGTATTCTGCATTAACTGTTTCCCCTTCTGAATATAGCCAGTCATCATAGCACCTTCCTTATCCCCAAATAACTGTGACCATGACCTTTCCTACTGACCTCTGAATTTCTTCAGCCACGGAGAACCCAAGTGCTGCCACTGCAAGGACTGTTGTTTGGTCTCCAGATCATAATGATATAACTTAGGTTTCATTAACAATTATGAGATGTTCCAAAAAATTATCACACGATCGCCCAAAATGCTGCAAAATCAGCTTGGAGGTATCCACTTGATTTTGGTTTTGGTTAGCATTCAAACATTTTGGCAATCACTTGGCTGACAACTTCTGCATAGCCAGCTGGTCATGAATGATAAAACCAATTTTATCATGCATTCCTGGGATATATTTAGTGCCTCACCAATGGTTTTAGCTGAGATTTGCTGATCTGCCAAAATTAGGTTATGAACATGCTCAGCAATTTTAGGACGTGACACTGTTGAAGGCCTCCTAGACATTGCTCCACCTTGGATCTCGAAGTCTCCATAGTGAAAGTTGGCATACCACTACTTCACAGTTGAGTATGTTGGGCACTTGTCACTCAATATTTGCACCATACACTCATGGATTTCCTTTGGAGTTTGCTTCTGCATGAACAGGAACCTCATGATGGCCCGGAGATCAGCACTTGAAAATTCCACACTTTTTGTTGAGTTGGTTCTATCAATGATCTGAAAAATTCAGAAATTAAAGCTATGATCCTGCAAATTGGCAGTGTACAACACAAAATAATACTCTTTCAATGATAAAACTATGCTCAGATTTTGGGAAGTGGGTCAGGCCAAAAACTTTTCATCACCCCCTTGCATTTAAAACTTACAGTTAAGGAGAATCCACCACCTTCTGAGGTAGTCTGTCCTGAGCACAAAACACACTATACAGATGTGAAAGGGTATAACAGCCATTTGATACCATTCTTTTAATCTCTTTATGTCATTGACTCTAACTGGACTCAAAAGCATATTGATGATGATGATGATGATTTGTCCAAGTTATTTGTGAACTATCTTTTCCCCTTCTTCCATTTCATTTAAAATAACAATACTATAGGCTGAAAGACATCTGTAGAAAAAAATTGTTCTGTTAAGCAGGTGCTTGTGCAGGCCTGTTTGCCTTGATAAGTTTGGAGTTGCAATAGCTGTACCCATTCAGATAGGGGTGCAGTAGTCCTGGTTGTCGGTTGCCAGCATAAAAACACTGCTACACTTCTTTCCAGTTTATTACACAAGGAAAATTGGAAGTTTAAATGGGTAAGAACCCACGATTATCTAGCATATTTGGGACAATTGTGCAAATGGTTTTCACATGACGTTGTGCGCAAACTGCATAGAATCCAACAAGAAAGTGACGTGAACCAGCAAATGGGCATTTTCGGGAAAA